TTCCTCAGGAGAGGCTATGTAAGACGCCCGGTCATATGGGAGCATTTCAAGAGGTGTGCGGAGGGGTGGCCAATAAAAATGAGTTCACGAATAAATAACCTTGGACTTACTTATTAATGAATGTCTTCAGAATCATTTGGCTTGTTTAGAGACTCGTTTTACCTAAAGTAGTAATTTTCCTTTCTTCCCTAAAAGTTGTTCAGCTATATTATTATTATTATTCCCTTGCGTTCCGAGTGAAACGTAGAGCATCAACAACACGTCTTTACTTTGTTCTGTTATCTGCCGTCCTCTTCAGCTGGGCCCGTGATTGCCCATAATCTCTCATCTCCTCCTCCTGCTCCTCCTCACATGATCTCCTCCATGTCAGTCTCTCACCGACGGATCACTCGTCGCTCCTCGTTGGGATTCCACTCGAGTGATGGCCCTGCATTACGCGCGATGTCATCCGACGAACTCCTCAAAGAATGACCAATCGATCTCCATTTTCTCCCACATATTTGTTGAGTGATCGGCTATCGCCTGTTGGTTTGGTCCTAGCCACATTTTCTTGTTGCCTATTCTTTCTGACTGGCCATTTGATCTTCAGTATCCAGCCGGCGAAGGCAGCTGTTGATGAAAGTCTGTGGTGGCCTGTTGGAAATCCTTTTCGTGAAACGCAGTGCAAGTTTCTGACCCGTATAGAAGAACTCTCCGACTTAACATTGGTGTTGAAAATGTGAATCTTCTGCTTGTGCTGAGAGCAGTGCAGAAGATTTCCAAACTGGTTTGAGGTTGATGAAGGCGTATCTTGCTTGTCTTTCCGATTCTGGTTGGATAGCTTTGACATCTTCATCCGTTCTGAATTCCTGTGGTTGAAATCGTGCTTTCTAGAGAAGTGAATGAAGTTGCCTCTTTCAAATCTCTCCCACTGGTGGTAATTGGTGGTTGTTGTTGTTATTGCTGTTTGTTGGTTATCTTCATCACCTTTGTCTGTCTTCTCTATGTTCACCTGCAGTTGTGTCTTCGGGGGCTGCTTCTTCAGCCAGTTTGTTGGTTTTCGCCTGTCTGTATTTCTTCGAGTTTGTGTAACATTAGACTTATATCATCTGCGAAATCCAGATCTTCTAGAGTCTTCTTATCGGTGTTCCGACGTATTCCTGTTTTCTCGCTCCCCACACACTCTCTGACGCACAACCCAATCCAACGCAATTAAGAGTATCATCTTATGTGATAATAGGTAGTCGGTCTTGTCTTACTCCTGTATGCATTTCGAACGCCTCCCTGAGTTTCCCGTTGTGAATCACCTGACATTTGGCACTGTCATATAGCCAGCTGTTGAATGAGGTCGAGAAAGACTTGGGCACTGCACGCCGTAGTGTTGAAGTAGTTTCCAGTTTACTTCTCGGCGTACGCTATCGAAATTTACACTCATGGTGTACACCCTAATGACAATATTCATCAATATTTGAGTTCAGCTGCTCAAGCAGTAAACCTTTACTTAGCATATAGGTATGATAGGAAGTGTCCAAATATTCAAAATCAACATTTATGTCATCGCTTTCTGGGGTAAAATATATTTCTCCTTTTTCAGAATTCGATTTATGGTGTTTTTTAGAATAGGATAATTTTACCTTACACCACTATTCCCAATAACCTGCTAGTACTAACGATGTAGTGGAGTTTTGTTTGTGTGCAGATGTATATAAACGATATATTTTAATGGAACACACACTAGTTAGTAACTAGTGTCCAATCGAAGTATCCAATATAGTCCTACCAACATGTGGTCAATTGCTAGCCCTAATAGCTCCTTGATAACGTCTCTGACTGCAGCACAGGATGGTGACATGCGCTCGAATCTCAGAAGGGACACGAGTTCCTTTTCTTCATGATTGCAGATACACTCCTTGCTGACTGACTGACTGATTGACTGGTGAGTGTCAACTAGCAAGAAACCTGTGTCAAGTAGGGCTTCCTGATAATTGCTCCCAACAATGTGATATCATATGCGGCATATTTCTTGTTGGATAAAGTTATACAAGTCAGTCTTTATCTTCTGATATTTTCGTGGCTTAGTTGAATTTCGTATTGATTCGATATGCACTGTTGTTTCCAGTATTGTTGTATCTATATCACAGTCGATTCGGTTATATCAATATAGTTTTCCTCTAATAAAGTCGAACAGATTATTTTATTCTCATAAAATTAGCCTAATTCATGTGTTGATCAACCAACTAGCGTACTTATTAAGAATAATTTCAAATCACAGCTGATGTACAGAAGGTGATTTTCTTTGCCCAGCCAAGTTAAACTTTAAGCATCACCAACTACCAATCAGCGAATGACCTCGAACGCGCCAGTCACGTGAAGGAGGCATTTTTGTGTATGGAATACATATATTTATGAAATAATGCATAAAGTCTGTAGAAAAGTGTTACAGTGTGTTAAAAACAACTCTCACTTTCAGGTTGGAGTATCAACAGAGTATAGTTCCATTGTGGGTAAAACTTGTTTTGATAAAGTCTCATAGTGTAATACAGTGATATTTCCTGAGCGATAAATTGTGCTCGAAACGTCATCAGTAAATAATACTTACTGTATAACGCTATGAGGCTTTTCGAAATAAATGTTGCATACAATGGAATAATACTCTACCAGAGTGCACAAGCACTATTTTTATATCAACAGTAAATTGACCACATTCTATGCATGTAATTATTTAGGTCTTCTAACCCTAATCTTTCCTGAACCTAACTCTAACGTGAAAATATCCCTAAACTAACCAACCCTAATGTCGCCTTTATTAGGTTAACCTAACCCTAACTTGTCCTTGGCTTAAAGCGTAACTTAATCTTTACCAAACCTAAGCTGAAACTTGCCGGATATCCCATTTAATAACACAACACTTCGATGGGCGTATTTTATTGATGATTAGAACATTATTTGCCAGGTTTCACTAACTTGCTCAGTGAGAGTTTCAAAGCCATTGGTAGTTAGTGGTGCTGAAAGTTTAACTTTGCCCTTGGCCCATTGAATAACGCCTTAATGTTTGAAGAGATGGGTGGAAATACCATCCCTTATTGAGAAGATAGTAAGTCCAAGTGATGATTCCCAAGTACGACTAACTGAGCATCCTAAAGTTTAGCTATTATTCACCATCTAACAAGAAGTCTTAATATACTAATCCCAACATTATTAAGATATCAGTTCAAGATGCTCATCTGTCAAAAAATGACGCTGATCAATCTCAGATAAGTCAACGGGAAATCAAAAACATGAATCACTCCAAATACATACTGAAGGTGTTAAAACACTGTTAGGAAATTTAAAACAATTAGTTCTCTTTATGAGTTTAGATAAAGCAATAAGCATATGTAGTTTGTCTGAATCGTGTAACGTATTTGCACACAACACACTTCGAACAGTCTGATCACACACGGACTTTTCACAGGAATATGTACATGTGAAGTTAATAAAGAGTTAAGAGGTAAGAAAATAGACACTTAGGTCTAATTAAAAGGACATAGGGAATGTCAAAATAATAATGAAGATCACTAAACCAAATAGCAGAGGTAATAGTACATCTACCCTTGTTTGTATCACAACAAAGTTTACCAAGGAAGGCGGTTTAGTGTGATGACGAATTGTTTTTGAACGCATAAAAGTGGTATAAACTTCCTAATCGCTATCTAGGGATCCCACAAACTTTAGGATACGATCCAAACAAATCGATCTCTGTAAGTAAAGACTGGCTTCAGAGCATATTCCTAAATGGCTCCAGAAGCAAATAGAATCCCCAGAACGCATTAATGGTGAGAACAGGAGACCCAGCTCCTCGATTGCGAAACATATTATAGAGACAGGAAATAAAATTGACATTAACACGTCTTTTAAACCTATTCACGAAACGTGTTTTAGGCAATTAGAAAGTTTGTGGAATCCTTAGATAGCGATCAGGAAGTTCATACCACCTTTATGCGTTCAAGAACAATTCGTCATCACACTAAACTACCTTCCTTGGTAATCTTTGTTTTAATTCAATTATCGATTTTGCCGTCGATTGATTGGACCCAAGTACTCGGTCTCAGGTTGACTTGTAGGCTTCTTATGCAGATGCTTCGATATTTCCTGGGCATGTAATTAGAAGTTAATTGGTGGATGATGACTAGAAGTGGAATCCACCAGGATGCGCATTTCGTCCTATTTTTGGACTGGTCAGCTGGATGTACCTGCATTCCCCAGTGGGTGATGAGACCGAACCCTTCGGTCTAATTAATCGACGGGGAAATCTGAAATTAAATTAAATAGTTCATATGACCCGTTGCACAAGAGGTGGCTCTCGTGGCCCAAGTGGTCTTGCGGATAAGGCTTTGTCGTAGGAAATGATGGGTACTAGGCGGGAAAATCATCACGCACTGGGGAATGCAGGTACATCCAGATGACGAGTCCCAAATAGGACGAAATGCGCATCGTGGATTTCACTGCCAGTCATCATCCACCAATTAATTTCTTAACTTTGTTTTGATAGCAGCCAGTGTATATGTACTATTACCTCTGTTATTTGGTTTAGTCATTTTCATTGTTATTTTGACCTTCAATATGTCCTTTTAACTTGACCTAAGTAGTCTATTTAGTCAACTCTTAACTCTTTATTAATTTCACATGTACATATTCTTATGACAAGTCCGTGTGTGATCAGATCGTTCGAACTGTTAGTAAAGAGAACAAAAACAACAATTTTATTTTCTATACTTGCTTTATTTAAACAAGTTTGATGTTTTATTTATACTGATTACTAATCGTCAACGTTAAATTGTACACATTTATTATTGATGCATACATCATTTATTCTTTTTCACTCCATTTAGCATTGAAACACTTTTGTTTAAATTACACTGAAATGTAAACAGTGCGGTTTTTAAAATCTAAGCAATTTATAGAGAAGCTTCCTAATTTTGTAATACATATTTTTAAAATAAAATGAATATAAATCAATTATTATTATTTTTTTAATTGATTTATTCACATTTTTCTTCTATTCCGCATAAATTATTTATTAATTGTTTATAATTAATTCGTTCAACTTTTGATGTTGACTGTGTTAAACCGAGAGATTTTGGTTTATCCCCTTTACTCATTGATAACCAGTCGACTTCAATATTACCAGTATAATCACATGGTGCTTGTATAGGCATACCATTAGTTGGTGGACATTTCCAATTCAGTTGATTGATAAATAATTCATATTGTATCAGACCATTACGATTACTTGAACTGAAAATAGGAAATAAAAATATGTGTGTATATATCGATTAAAATTTCATAATATGTTAACTTGATATACATTAATATATATACATATGTAAAAATTGGGCACCATGGTGATATGTCATTCCAAATTCATTTGTTTATTAGTTGGATATATCACACAAAGTTAAACAGTATAATCTTTTACTGGATGACGAGGTTTCAAACACAATTTATCATTGTTCATAATCATATCGTCAATTATAGCTACACAACTTCGAAATCTTCGCTCTACATTTTCCTTTGTTCTCTCCTATTCGTCGTCGTACAGGTAGTAGAATTTTCCAGACATCTAGAACAGGTGTTGAATCATTCCTATCACACGTATCTTCAGTTGATTCGATAAACAAAGCTTCCGTTGACATCAATCTCTCCCTCCACCCTGCTGTTTCGTTAGATTTTACAACTGTCATCTTATCCCATATTAGTTTGTTTATTTGATATATCACACAGTGAAACAGTATTATTTACTAATATATGTGTAAAACTTGGGCACTGTGGTAGTAAGTAATTCCATATTAGTTTGTTTATTAGGTATATCACACAGTGAAACAGTATTATTTACTGGATGACGTTTCGAACAAAATTTATTGTTCATAATCATATCAATAATGATCACACGACTTTGACACTTGAGTTTTATAGTTTTCTTTGTTCTCTCCTATTCGTCGTATGGGTAGTAGAATTTTCCAAATATCGGGGACAGGTGATGAATCATTCCTATTACATGTATTTGTAGTTGATTCGATAAACAGGAACTAACACACATAAAAGAAGCCTTAAAACTTAATAATTACCCGGAAAAATTAGTCAGGAAATATGTAAAGAAAAGTAAAAATAAAATAAATAATGATAGTAGTGATAGTGATAATAACAATAATAATGATAGTGATAATAATAATAATATTAATGACGACACCAACAATAAAGAATCTAAATCATCAGTAGTAATTCCATACAAGGAAGGAACCTCGGAAGCCTTACGCAGAATTCTTAACAAGGCAGGAATAAAAACGGCATTCAAACCCACAAACTCAATTAGAAACAAGCTTTGTCGGTTAAAGGATCCTGTAGAGCCTTTAAAACAAAACAATTTAGTTTATCTCATACCCTGACTGCAATGATTGTCAGGTCAAATACATAGGTCAAACTAGTAGAACAGGGGCAGTCAGACTAGCTGAACATAAAAACTTAGCAAAATCTAGATTGGTTGACCCGAATAAGATAAGAAATCTAGAGAATAGTTCAGCTATAGCACTACATGCAGTCACACACAACCATACAATAGGATGGGATAGGATGACAGTTTTAAAATCTAATGTCACAGGGTATAGGGAGAGATTGATAACAGAAGCTTTGTTTACCGAATCAACTACAAATACATGTAATAGGAATGATTCATCACCTGTCCCCGATATCTGGAAAATTCTACTACCCATACGACGAATAGGAGAGAACAAAGAAAACTCTAAAACTCAAGTGTCAAAGTCGTGTGATTATAACTGACATGATTATGAACAATACATTTTGTTCGAAACTTCATCCAGTAAATAATACCGTTTCACTGTGTGATATACCTAATAAACAAACTAATATGGAATTACTTACTACCACAGTGCCCAAGTTTTACACATATAGTCATCTTATCCCATCCATCCTATTGTATGATTTGTTGTGTGTAATTGCATGTAGTGCTAAAGCTGAACTATTCTCTAGATTTCTTATCTTATTCGAGTCAACTAGGTTTTGCTAGGTTCTCGTGATCGGCTAGTCTGACTGACTGCACCTGTTCTACTACTTTGACCTATGTATTTGACCTGACAATCATCGCAGTCAGGGTATTAGATAAACTAAATTGTTTTGCTTAATAGGCTTCATAGGATCGATACTTTAACGGACAAAGTTTGTTTCTAATTGAGTTTGTTTGGGGGGAGGTTGAATGTTACTTTTGTTCCTGCGTTGTTAAGAATTCTGCGTAAAGTGGTTTCTGAGGTTGCTTCTTTATGTGGAAGTACTACCGACTATCTGAAGTTCTTATTGCTGGTGTTGTTGTCGTCAGTGTATGTTTGTCGTGAATTTCAACGTTGTTATTATTGTTACTATCAGTTATTTTTTATAATCATACCTTGATTCCACACCGTATTTTCGGTACAAGTATGGAATTTTCAGTATGTCATATCGGTAGCCCAAATTTTGCAGGCCAGCCATTGATATCATGGGTGTGCGTCGGCAGTTGATATTTTTAGTATTTTTAATATATTTATGCGTTGAAGTTTCTGTAGCAATTTAGTTAAGTTTTGGGGGTGGAGTTGCTAGCACCACGCCCCAGTCCTCCCTGTTTATCCGGGCTTGGGACCAGCTAGAAAACTACTGAGCTAGTAATCTAGGCGAGGTGTCTATGTCCAGGTGAACATAGACAAGATGGAGGTTATGAAAATAACCAACCAACAACAACTACAGCAACATCCAGCGCCAATCACCATCAATGGAAGCGATTCGAAAGAGGTTACTCCATTCAGTTATCTAGGGAGCATTGTTTCAGCTACAGGAGAAACGGATGAGGATGTGGAATCGAGAATCGGGAAGGTGAGAAACACATTCATCAACCTGAAACCAATCTGGAAATCTTCGTCACTCAGCATCAACAACAAAATTCGGATTTTCAATACAAACGTGAAGTCAATTTTGCTTTACGGATCAGAAACTTGGCGGGTCACCAAGAATATTTTCAACAGGTTGCAAACCTTTATCAACAACTGTCTTCGTTCTATACTGAAGATCAGATGGCCGGAAAGAATTACCAACAAGAAACTATGGGAACAAACAAAACAAGAAGCAATCGTCCAACAAATATGCAGGAGAAAGTGGAGATGGATTGGGCACTCGCTGAGGAGGCCGTTGGGTGACATCGCGCGTCAGGCCAGTGCTCGAGTGGAACCCAAAAGGGAAGCGGTGAGTAGTGGGACATCTAAGGGTGACATGGAGGAGATCGTGTGAAGAGGAGTTAAAACAGTATGGATTAAAATGAACGCAGGTGAGAAGTACAGCAGAAGACAGAAGCAAGTGGAGACGTGTAGTTGAAGCCCTATGTTCCACTAGGAACCCAAGGGAACAATAGTAACAATAATAGTTTCGTAGTTACTGGCTTTGCATGAATGCTGACAACTATTTATCAAACACTTCATGTAATCAATTACAGACGTATTGTTCATCAATAACTTTTATATTCTCCTTAAGTCATAGGTAGTATTAATGAAATTACATTCACTTACACATGTTTCCATCCAGTTGTCGTGATAGTTCATCGTCAAATATATAACACATTTTGAATAAAAATAATTGTCGATTCAAGTATTCATCCAACAGAGATGCCCACTATCCCCATTTCCATTCAATTTCATCATAGATGTACTAATGGACTTAACCTCAACTCACTTCAGAGACTCAGGGATTGACTTGCTACCAGGGAATAATCTCGTTGACTTAGAATATGCAGATGATATAGTCCTCCAACGTAGGTGAAGACGCTGACAAAGTGCAGAGTCTTCTGGACACCTTTAGCTGCAATCTACGAAAGTTTGGCATGCGATTCGTTCGTGCTGTCAAATGTAAGATGATGTTATTGGACTGGACTACATTGACTCCTAGTTTAGAAATAGGAAGTGAAGTGGTTGACGAGGCGTGTTGCATCAGCCAGCACCAACGGGTTGATCGTTCACGAAATCTCAGCACGGATATGGAAGGCTAGTTCCGCATGTGCCAGTTTACGCCGTCTATGGCTTAGTATACGTGATATCCGACTGGCTATCGACCAAAGGGCGTGTGTATTGCTCAGCAGTCCTCTCCGTCCTCCTTTATGGCTGTGGGATATGGCCATTGAGAGTGGAAGACATTGAAAGATTAGCTGTCTTTGATCATATGTGTCTGCGTTCTATCTCCTGTGTCAGGTGATGGTATAATAGAGTGAGCAATATTGAGGTTAGGCGCCGATCGAGTGCTAGGTAAGGAAGGAGGAGAGATCAATCGACGAGGCTGTAAAGCTATATCGATTAGGGTGGTTAGGACATGCGTTACACATGCATGCCCAGCCATCGCCTTCCTCGACGGGAAATATTAGCTGACATGGGATCGATGAGGCTGGAAAAGAGTTAGTCAGTGGTGGTCAAACCGAAACATGGTTTCATCAGTCAATGAAATCCACAAGAGTTAGTTTAAGCCAGCCAGTCACGTAGGAAGGTGTGGACTTCCTGGTTGGGGTCCTCGGGACGGTAAACACCAATGGCGGCTGGAGACAATTGGTGATATGGCTCAAAATCCTCGTTCTCAATGGCTGGCACAGATGCATCCACTCCTTGTGACTTATAATACCCAATAAAACTATATTGTTGTTCAATATTACTACTCCTTTTGCTTTATATATCTGTTTACTGTCTCTATTTTACTTTTCTTTTTACTTTCTTCCCTTGTTTTGTGTGCTGCATGGAGGGAGAGTGGCAACTTGAACTGCTGCACATCTGTGCAAAGTTTTATATTGAAACCAGTCGGTCAGTCAATTCATCACATGTATAAACTCGAAATGACCTTCAACATTCACTCATTCATTTATTCATATTCTATTGAATGTCATTGAATTAAAACAACTTTTGTTTTAATACTGTAAGATAGTAAACAATTCTTTATTTCACCTAAATACGTAATTCATTTAATGAAGTAACTTATTGAATGATATTACTAAATTTAAGATTGTTAGTTGACTGTGTGTGTGTGTGTATAAGTCAATCATCAATTGAAATTTTAAATGATTTCGCGCGCGCGCCATAACAAAAATGCCATAATGATTACATATAAATAAACAACAGTATATTGAATATGGAAGTAACACTATCAGTGTTTTGAAAATTTAATTGTTTACATTACTTATTAGAAGTAATGTAAGCATTAAGTATTGAATAAAATATTTCCATAGG